TACAAAATATAATAAAATGAACATTAAGGTGCAGCATTTCGATGAACTGAAATAATCTGTATTTGAACTGTACTGTACTAGCACCTAAGCAGCCAGTTTGACATTAGGACTTGCTTGTCATTGTATTTTCATGTTTTTTTAAAGAAAAATGAACTTGTCCACATTGCTTGCCGAAAGGGCAGATCTGCTGGCACTAACAATGTCTCCTGCTGTGGAGAACACCCTCTCGCTAGGGACAGAGGTAGCAGATACAGCCAGGTAGCGCTTTGCTAACATTGCAACATAAGGATAGTTGGCGTTTGTAATAGCTTTGGCTCGGTCTGAAGAAGTGGAGGCTTAAATGCTAGCTGGAGTTGGGTTTGCACTTCAGTCTTTTTTCTTTTGGTACCGGTGATATTCACGTTCGGGTGATGCCTTTTCAAAAGAGTGTGCAAGTTTGATGTATTGCCAGCCGCGTAACCAATTTTAGTTGAACAATGCCGACAAACAGCTTTGGTTCGGTCCACCTGTCTTTGTCCGTCATCCTTGTACGTAACTGCAAAACCAAAATGTTCCCAAACCGGAGACTTCAATGATGCTGGAGGATTTTCGAGCTCAACTTTATCTGCGTTCGTCATTCATTTTTGACAGTTCCTCAAATTACTGACTACATTTGAACGCATCCCTCTGACCAGCTCTCATAGTATGCCTCTCATCCAATTAAATGACTTGCTCGCTCTATGACGCGTTGAACCCAATGTGAGAAAATTACTCTGAATGCTGCGACGCAGCACCTGAGATTACTTCCAAAAAGTTATTCACGTTCTCAATTTTTTACGTTTAACGTTATATTCGTTCGGTACACTTCGGTACACACCTGTACCGAACCGAAGGGCCCGTACCGAATAATTTCGGTACGGGTACGTGTACCGTTACACCCCTAGACTGCTTACTGTACTGAGCTAGATGGAGACTGGGATGAAGGTCTTCCTTGGTTGATGTTGGCTGCAAGGGAGGCGGTACATGAAGGTACGGGGTTTAGCCCTAATGAGTTGGTTTTCGGACATGCTGTACGGGGTCCCTTGGCAGTGCTGAAAGAGGGTTGTGTTGACACTGAGCCACCACGGAGCTTGGTGGATTATGTGAATGGCTTCAGACGTCGTTTGGGTGTTGCTTTGAGTATGGCACGGGAAAAGCTGTCAGTGTCTCAAAGTAACATGAAGAAGTTCTATGACCGTTGTTCGGCACGACAGGAGTTTAATCCAGGTGACCAGGTTCTATCACTTATGCCTATTGTTGGTTCCCCATTTCAGGCTAAGTATTCAGGTCCGTACACTATCATTGAGGAAACTTCTGACCTAAATGATGTTGTGGCAACACCAGAACGAAGGAAGACCAAACGCCTCTGTCATGTAAATCTTCTGAAACCCTACCACAAGCGGGAGGTTAACACAGACACAGAGGTGGAGAAGGATAAAGTGCAGCCGGCTGTGGTGGTGACACATGGTTTGACGCATGAGGGAGATATAGTGCCCGAACCTGATGATAGTTTGCTCTGTGGTCGTTTGAGAAATTCGGAATCGCTAGATAATTTAGACGGGTTGTTGTCTCATTTGGCGGCATCAAGACGTGAGGAATTATCAGCATTGGTACACAAATATTTGTGTCTGTTTGGAGACACTCCTTCGCAAACTGACTGGGCTGAGCATGATATTGATGTTGGGGACGCTCAGCCGATTAAGCAACATTTTTATCGCATGCCACCAGTTAAGCGCAGTCGGTTGGATGCAGAGATTAATTACATGGTGGAGAATAAAATTGCTGTCCCATCAGCATCTAGTTGGGCGTCTCCATGTATTTTGGTGCCAAAGCAGGATGGGACACCTAGATTCTGTACTGATCTAAGAAAAGTGAATGCGGTGACAAAATCAGACTCTTTTCCTTTGCCACGGATGGATGACTGTATAGATCAGGTGGGGTCTGCAAAGTATGTTAGCAAATTTGATTTGCTTAAAGGGTATTGGCAGGTCCCCTTGTCTAAGCGGGCACAGGAAATAGCAGCATTTATCACACCATCTGGACTTTATTCATATAAGGTAATGCCGTTTGGGTTAAAAAATGCTCCTGCTACATTCCAACGTTTGATGAATCGCGTGGTGTCGGGTTTAGAGGGCTGTACGGTGTATCTAGACGATTTGGTAATTTGCAGTGATACTTGGACTGCTCATGTTCAGCGCATCGAGAGGTTGTTTGAACGGTTGACAGAGGCACATCTGACTATTAATTTGGCCAAATGTGCCTTTGCAAAGGCCACAGTGACATACCTTGGTCATGTGGTGGGTCAGGGTTGTGTGGCTCCAGTTCTGGCCAAGGTCAGGGCAATATCTGAATACCCACAGCCCACAACCAAAAAGGAACTCCAGAGATTTTTGGGTATGGTGGGTTACTACAGGAGGTTCTGTGAACATTTTTCCACTACAGTTTCCTCTGACGGAACTTCTTAGGGCTAAGGTAAAATATACTTGGTCGGTCGACTGTCAGAGAGCGTTTGATAGTGTTAAGTCTCTATTGTGCTCCTCTCAGGCGTTAGCGGCTCCATGTTTTGATCGTCCTTTTAGTCTCCAAGTAGATGCAAGCCAGGTGGGAGTCGGTGCGGTTCTGCTCCAGGTTGACAAGGGGGGGGGGTGGAGAGACCCGTCAGTTTCTTTTCAAAGAAACTTAACAGTTACCAAAGGAATTATTCGGTGATTGAGAAGGAAGCGTTAGCACTCATTTGGGCGTTGCAGCATTTCACTGTATATGTGGGAGCAGGAGGACCAATTTTGGTTTACACAGATCACAATCCTCTGACCTTTTTGCATTCAATGAAGTGTCCCAACCAAAGGCTGACGAGGTGGTCTTTGTTTCTTCAGGCTTACAACCTTGATGTTAGGCACATTAGCGGATCCGACAATGTTATTGCTGACGCGCTGTCACGTGCTCCATAGCACTAAGTAGTTGTTTGTTTGACCTTGATGTGTATATATATATGGACTGTCATACTGTGATAAATATTTCTCACTCTGCCCATGTTTTTTAAAGTGCTTCTCAGATACTGGTGTTGCTAAAGGTGTGGCAGGGTGCTGAAGGCGAGGATTGCTGTGTGAAGGTGGTGTATTTCATTGGGGTTCTGGGGGAGTGCCATATGTGTGGTTTTGTTTTCCATGACTTTTTCCTTTGGTTTGGGATGGGGTTGGTGTGTGGTGCCGGTGGCCCTGGGGACACCGACTTTAAGGGGGGGGGTGTGACGACCCCTGCCTCACTATCTCTGGTGGTGGGTATGCGTGTGTGTGGCCCTTTAATGACTCTCCCTCTGTGTGTGCTCACGGGAATTGAGGACACCTGGCGGCTGGAGCTAGCTGGATAAAGGACTGGACCGGATCTCGCTCTCTCTCTCTCTCTCTCTGGCAGGAGGACGCAACGTGAAGAGCAGTCACGACCAGCTGACCTCTTGTTTCGCCTGTTTGTGTCCTTCAGCAGCAGCCAAATAAACTCTTTTTTTTTCTATTCACGCTCTCGTTTTTGTTGTGGCTGAGAGCCAAGCCATGACAGCATCTATGTCTCACCGTGGTGTAATTAATCTGCTAATTAAGCTAGTCCTATATCACGGGTCATGTTTCAGTATTTACCTAAACGTTCATTATTTTATGCTGCGCATATTGCACCTCATTTATATTTTGGCTTCATGCTCACATGGCTCGCGATAAACCAGGTTATGATATTCATGCATTACTGTACTTAAGCTAACAGCTGCATTACATTGTCTACATCTCCCTCTTCGCCCGGACATCGGCTCGTGCCGGCAATCCAAGATCTCTTCAGTTTACCTATGGTAAACATGCATATAACTGGTGGTGGTGTCTTAATAGCATTTCAGGGCTTCGTCCAGGATAGGTGCAGCAACCCTGCCGCAATCAAGGTAATTATTCCTCAGCCCTACAACAACCAGACGGCCATCCAAGATCTCTCTTACCTGGTATTTATGCATTTTAGTGGTAGTGTTCATCTGTGTATGTTTAACCCTGCATCGCAGGTCATCGACCATCGTGTCGGCAATGTTTAGTGGTAGTGTTCATGTAAGCCCGGCGCTGATTCCGGCCGTCGACCTCCGGGTCAGCATCTTATGATGTCAGTAAGCCCGGCAGCGATTCCTGCCGTTGTTTAGTGGTAGTACGTAAGCCCGGCACTGATTCCGGCCATCGGCCGGTCAAGCATCTTATGATGTCAGTAAGCCCGGCAGCGATTCCGGCCGTTGTTTAGTGGTAGTACGTAAGCCCGGCAGTGATTCCGGCCGTCGTTTAGAGGTAGTGTTCTCGTAAGTCCGGCGCTGATTCCGGCCGTCGACCTCCGGGTCAGCATCTTATGATGTACAGTAAGCCCGGCAGCGATTCCGGCCGTTGTTTAGTGGTAGTACGTAAGCCCGGCACTGATTCCGGCCATCGGCCGGTCAAGCATCTTATGATGTACAGTAAGCCCGGCAGTGATTCCGGCCGTCGACCTCCGGGTCAGCATCTTATGATGTACAGTAAGCCCGGCAGCGATTCCGGCCGTTGTTTAGTGGTAGTACGTAAGCCCGGCACTGATTCCGGCCATCGGCCGGTCAAGCATCTTATGATGTCAGTAAGCCCGGCAGTGATTCCGGCCGTCGACCTCCGGGTCAGCATCTTATGATGTACAGTAAGCCCGGCACTGATTCCAGCCGTCGGCTCTCGGGTCAAGCATCTACACTCTTAAAACTACTGGGTTAAAAAATAACCCAATCATAACCCAGCTGCTGAGTCACTATAGGACAGAACACACGCTGGGTTGTCTTAACCCATATGCTGGGCTGGATCATTTTAACCCATGTGCGGGGTTGTTTATTTGACCCAAGCTAGTGATTGAAATTAACTATATTGTTGGGCTAAATAGAATATAATAATAATAATGTATAATAGTGTAATGAATTATCTCCAAACACACCGTGTATATATATATATATATATATATATATAAAAATGCATTTATTGATAATTTGAACAGCTTTGGCAAATCGCCAACATTCCATTTCCACTATAAAAGAACAATGCATTTTAGCACAATACAAATTCAATATATTTAACTCTTAAATAAATAAAAACACCTTAAAAACAGTGCTAGGGCCTTGAGAAATATCTGTGTGTATTTTAACCATCACTTATGAGTGAACACAATTTTCAGGAACAGTTCTGCGTATTAATTTAACACATGGACCATAAAGACCCAATACATATAAAAGTATAAAACAACATCTACGAACAGTCCTTCAACTTGAAGCTGAACAGTAACAAATCTGTCAATGCACACAACAGAACACAGATGTAAAGCAGCAGGATGTAAACAGAGGAGAACAGTGTGTGTGTGTGTGTGATTGTTAAAGTGCAACTTTGTTGGTTGGATTAAACTGCCAAAAGCTTTTTCAGGCTCAACACCCTGGGCTTCAAGTTCCCCTCATCAACACTTTCTGGGTGAAGTCGAAAGTGTTGGCCAAGTCTTTTGGGTAGCTCAGATGCAGGGCAAAGGTCAGTGCAAAAAGCAGGATGAATGAGTCAGCCAGTGTGGGGAGTTCCATAACTCCGTTACCCTCAATGACAACAGCGATCCTCTCTGGGCAGAAGAGCGTGGTGTCTGTTGACCTGGCACTGATCATGAGAAGTCCGACCGCGATGCCCTCTGTGTCTGGATCATCAGAATGCTCCACCTGATGACAAGAACAGATAAACGTTACCCAAATTGCCTTGCCTCTCTCAGAAATGTGTTTTCGGAAAAATACATCAGTGACAAATAACCGTATGTTTTGTGCCTAATGTGGGTTTAAGGAAACGCCTATTAGCATTGCACAACATAATGTTACAGCACCAGAAATGTCAGCCTCCAAAATAACCAATCAGTTGACATAAATGCTTTCAACAAAAAAACATGTATAACCTTCATAAGGGTAGGATTTATTTTATCACTGTATTAGACTGTTACTATTAGCTAGTTGTACCTAATAAACTGGCAACTGAATATATATTTACAGTATAATCTCTCCCTACTACACATACACAAATATATGGGGAACACTAGAGATTATTTTGTATTGAACACTGGTGCTGCAGGAAAGAAAGCCCTCTCTTGATTGTGTATTTTATTAAATCACCTGAGCCCATTTTACACACGCTTAATTTCAAATAAATCCTTAAGTAGAAATCACATTCAACACTTCTGAAGCGTTGAAGTAAAGGGAGATTATGTTCAACATGTCCATTGTGTACCTTACAATAATTACAATTCTTATGGCAATATTCAAATCTTGGAACTAGAACCTGAATGGGATGTGAGCAACACAAGAGATAATGTTTGATTAACAACACCTGAGTGGCAGAATCAAGCTTTGATGACACCAGGACAGTTCATACTTTTTCAAACTAAATCTATCATTTATTATAATTTTTTCACTATAAAAATTCAAATAATTGTCTACCTGCGATAGAGCTCCTGAAACAATGTAACAAGATAAACTATATTTGTTGATGATCTGTCACATACATTGAAAACAGTTATTATGCTGACTTACATGCCACAGCCTCAGAAACGTGGAGTCATCTTCATGCAGATATGCAGGCAGAGCACGGAGGACATGGACGTCAACTTGCTCCTTGAGTGTGAGAACATATCTTTGTTTTACTTTGGATGCTAAACAGTATAGCCACACAACAATTGATTTCACAAGAAAGGGCTCTTCCATGACTGAAGAGATTAACATTTTGACAAAGATAATCCACTCTAGTATGAGAATAAAACACCAAGAGGCATAACCGACTCACCTGGAGGTCATAGGAGGCGAATAGCTGATCCAGAAGTTCAGTTTCCTTTCCTTGCTTGCCGCCTTCTTCCTGAACAGGCTCTGAAGATGGAGGACATGTCTATCCAACTCCGCATAGAAGTGGTTCTTCAGGTTGAGGTTCGTTATCCTGTGAAACTCTGCCAAAATATAAAATGACTATTTAATTCACAGTACAATGTATATGTGGACTGAAGGCAGCAGAGATAAACAGAAACATAACATGCTAAATCTGAGTAAACATGTCAAAGTGTCAAAGGGACACAAAATAATTATATAGTTGTAATAAATAAAATATTTTCACCTGTGACTCCATTTTCAAGGCAGGCCAGCGTTCCAGGATCTCTCCAACAGGTAGCTCATCATTGATGATCTCATTGCACCGCAGGGCAAAGGTAGTCTGCATTCACTTTTCAATCAAGGGAATAATAATGTTATAATGTTCAAGTAACTCTGCCCTTGTATTAAAGACAGCAGCACAAAGTTTGCATCTCCAAGCCATTGGAAAACGTAACAATATTCACAGGCACCCTACAAACGGCGGCGTACGTTGACGCTTGCCTGCGGGCATGTCTGAAGCTAGACCAACAACCAATCACATGAAAGCTACGCTTTGCTCCCACAATGCAGTTCGGCTAAGCGTGACATCACCCCATTCAAAGTGAATGGGCAGAAGCGTCAACGCACGCCGCCATGTGTAGGGGCCGTAACATCACTCCATTCACTTTGAATGGAGTGACTTCACGCTTTGCCAAACTGCATTGTGACAATCAAATCATATGCCAGTACAAGCTCTAGCCAATCAAACCGCGTGCTTGTGTGTCCGGGGCGGGATATTCATGTAATTGGTTGTTGGTCGAGCTTCAGACAAGCCCGCCGCCGTGTGTGTAGGGGCCGTAAGCATGCCACAGTTGCGCCGCTGCGAGGGTCCACTTGCACCCCCCCCCCCCCCAGCGCATCACAGTTTGAAGATTGAAGAAGCCATATATCTGCCAGTTGCGTCAGTTTCCTTAAAGGAATGGTATGCTCATGACACTCATTTTTAAATAATTATCATCCGATAAAACAGACCAGTCTCTGCCAGTCTTTCTTTTTTTTTTATCCGATGGCATTATCAGTGATTTTAAACTGATTATTTACCGAAATAACATCAACACTGTGGGCGCCGCCATTTTACCGGACGTGACGTAAACCATGCGTTTGGTTTCGAGGACACGTTGATGTTCATGTTATTTACTGTAGTTACTCTCTTCAAATATGCCTCATTGTATCGCGAAACATTGCCACAATTCTGATAGGAACAATCCACGGAATGCTCGGTTCCATCTGTTGCCAAAAGGTAAGCGTAGGAAGTACGTTCGGAGGCAGTGGCTAGCGAAATGTGGCCGGCCCGAACCGAAAGATCCACAGGCGCATGTATGCAGCGAACATTTCAAGTTTCCGGACGACTACTCTGAGAGTATGATAAAACATAACATGGGATTTATTGAACAACCATTACTTAATGGAGATGCAGTACCATCGGTCTTTCTGGTGTCATCGCCGACCAGGACACCAGTTCGGCCAGTTGAGAAATCGCCCTCTGCAAGTGTGAAGCGACGGAGGACCAGAAGTAGTGCTCGGAGTAAGAATAAGGTATGTTATGGCGCATTTCCATTGCAGCGGGTAGCCCCGTTTAAACGTCCTTTATCGTCCAGGCCAGGCCAGTTTTTGGTGGCCTTTCCATATAGCGTAGTACCGGCTAGTGGGTATTTCCCCCCAGTTTTTCCGGCCCCATAAAATCGTGGTTCTAGGGCCAGGGACAACGAGGCTGAGTATGCTAAACTAGAGAGGGAATCGCTAGCAAGGGTGGTACTACATGCATACATATCTAGTAATCAAAATCATTGTATCTACTAAGTAGTACTAAGTAGGCTCGAACCTGTATGGCTGAATTCCCCCATCCAATCTCTTCATATTGCTCAAAACTTCTTCCTCGGCTGACGAGTCCGAACTCAAATACTCCATGTTTTCATGTGTTTACAAAGTGAACGCATGGATGACGTCACGACCATCACGTGACTACTGAAAATGGGCAAAATGGCAGCGGCCTGACGGAATATACAGGTTTTGATAAAAAAGAGCTATAAAATCATTATTTACCGGGGAATATCGCTGATTTCTTCAGGGTATGGTTTAAACATAATGTTTCACTAAATACTGAAGTTTTGATTAATTATCTAATGAGTGGAGCATTCCTTTAAGAGAAAAAACATTAAAGGTTAGCTGGGTTGTAAAGTTTTCACAAAACGAGAAACACTATTTTCGAACCTAAAATGGCGGCAGGCGGCACGCTTTTCTTCTTTTTTGTTACAGCATGCATGTCTGTGCATGTTTTATTAACTTAGAGGCATATAAGTTAATACAACGAGGATTTACGTTCATTTTAATCCACTAACGTTGTACCATAACCGTGCGTTCTGCATGTTTTTAAAAGCAAGCTAACTTGAAACACTAGACTATTCATCTGTTAAATCCGGCAGCCCCCGGTACCGAGGGCTTCTTGTTCACGAAACTTTGTCTCAGGGGCTTCTTAACATTTAAAAACCTATTAATGTGTCATACCCACTTAACGAAACGAAACTCAGCTAACTGAAGATACGAACCATTTTTACCGAAACAAAACACAAGTCTCACTATTAAATTAGTCTAAATTAGCGCACAGAACTCACGGTAGAAATACTTTATTATAGGCTACTTATCGTAACTGCGCATACAAGATATCAGATTAAAGCTGAGATTCCACAGATTCTAGAAGTATTAGTATAATCACTACACGATCATTACCTTTGCTGAGTTACATGTATTTGAAAACGCTGGGGGGTATAAATTACCTTGTAAAATGAATAGTCTAGTGTTTCAAGTTAGCTTGCTTTTACAAACATGCAGAACGCACGGTTATGGTACATATTAGTGGATCAAATTAATCCTCTATGCCTCTAAATTAATAAAACATGCCCAGAAATGCGGTAAAATAAGAAGAAAGAAAACGCGCCGCCTGCCGCCATTTTAGGTTCTACTTTTCCAGAAAACTTTTGCAACACAAACGTTCCACTTTGAGATATAACTTAAAACAATATAAAAAATACTGTCTTACACGTAAGTTAAATCATTTCTCAAGTGAGGGAGATATTAAATGTAGGCTAGCTAACAAGAGCTCAAATCAACCTAACACACCATGCGACACATTACATTACATTGCATTTAGCTGACGCTTTTGTCCAAAGCGACTTACAATAAGTACATTCGACCAGGAAGACACAACCTTGAAGAAAACAGAATCATATAAGTACATCAGGTTTCATAGAGCCAAACATTTCAAGTGCTACTCAACTGGCTTTAGGTAAGCCAGTCCTTTATTAGTATAAAAGTGCTTCGTTAATAGTTCTAACGCTCGAAGTGGAGTCGAAAGAGATGAGTTTTCAGTTTGCGCCGGAAGATGTGCAAGCTATCTGCCGTCCTGATGTCAATGGGGAGCTCATTTCACCATCTTGGAGCCAGGACAGCAAACCCACGTGTTTTTGCCGATGGGAACTTGGGTCCCCCTCGCAGCGAGGGCGCAGCGAGTCGTTTGGCTGATGCAGAGCGTAGTGCACGCGCTGGGGTGTACGGTTTAACCATGTCCTGGATGTAGGAAGGGCCAGATCCATTCGCAGCATGGTAAGCAAGTACCAGTGTCTTGAAGTGGATTCTAGCAGTTACCGGAATCCAGTGAAGGGAGCGGAGGAGCGGAGTGGTGTGGGAAAATTTAGGAAGGTTGAAGACCAGACGAGCCGCTGCATTCTGGATGAGCTGCAGAGGTCGGATGGCACATGCAGGTAGACCAGCCAGGAGGGAGTTGCAGTAGTCTAGGCGTGAGATGACGAGAGCCTGGACCAGAACCTGAGTCGCTTTCTGAGTCAGCTGGGGACGCATCTTCCTGATGTTGTAAAGCGTGTATCTGCAGCAACGGGTTTGTAGCAGCGATGTTTGCAGTGAAGGACAGGTTGTTATCTAGGGTCACACCCAGATTCCTTGCAGTCTGAGTCGGAGAAACAACTGAGGTGCCGATGTTGATTGTTAGGTCAAGAGTGGGACAATCTTTTCCCGGGAGGTAGAGCAGCTCAGTCTTGTCAAGGTTGAGCTTGAGGTGGTGAGCAGACATCTACTGAGAGATGTCAGCTAGACAGGGGCGGATCTACCGGGGTGGCATGGGGTGGCAACTGCCACCCTAAACAATAGCCTTGCCACCCCAGTTGGCATCTTTGTTTTGAAAGAAAAGTTGTGGCTCATCGGACATTTATGAGAGAAAGTCTCTAATGTCCGAGTGCAAGTGAATGCAGCACAATATGCACGTCATGTAACCCCTCCCCCGGTCCTGGCGCGAGAGTGGAAATATGATTGGTGGCGAATTCATTTGAACGGGACGGCGCAAAACGAGAAGCGTTTCGGACCCAACTACTGAAGGAATGAGGTAGTTGCGGTCTACAATGACAGAGAAGAGAATGTCAAGTTTGGCTGTACTCAGCATTGAATCAAAACGCACTACAGCTGTTGATCTTAATAAGTTTGTGAGGCATTTTGCTGAACAAAATAGTAATCGCCGCATTCAGCTGTAATAGACATGCCAACTTGATGCTCTGCTCACGGATGACTCGATGAGAATAACAAACTGTTAAGATGATGACCTTGTATGCGTGTATATATTTTTTTCTTTGAGGGGGTCTGCCCCCAAAAAACAGTTTTAAGTCCTGAGAAAGTAAAATAAGACGGTGTGTAAAACTACACTGCCCAGCCAACAGAAAGTAACCACTTTGATTTAACTAGGCCAGTAGGTAAGGACCTTCCTGGATAATAACTGCAGCGATGTTTTAGCTGAATACACGTTTTTTAACCCTAACTGATGCAGTTAGTCACTTCTTTAATGTTTGTTCTTTCTGATGTAAAGTCAAGGTTGTAACTGTATATCAATAATGATATAATTACTTGTTTTTCAAATTTGAAGGAGGTTGAGCAAGCATCTTGATGAACATTCATCATTAACTCCTCCAAAAAATATAGTTTATTCAATAATAAATGAATATGTGAATCATAACAGTGATTGACAGCTGATAGGAATAATATGATTGTTAATAGTATCATATTCATTCAGACAAACATCGATGAGACAGTTAATTAATGTACTTATTGCAGCAGTCTGCATAGATTTGGTACCCCTGCTGGTCTAAGTGAGACAAACTCATTCAGTTATTGTTCAGTTAAAATTCATTAAATTACGTCTGCTACCTTATATGTAAGGCTTTACTGATGTGCCACAATAATATCACCTATGTGATTGAGTTAAAATATTAATATTGTGGCTTTCCAAGTTAACATTGATTGTAGGGGTGTAACGGTTCACAAACATTTCGGTTCGGTACGTACCTCGTTTTTAGGTCACGGTTCGGTTCGGTACGTTTTCAGTACAGCAGAAAAAATTATCACAAAACATTAAATATTTTTTTTTAATTATTATTAAACTGACTAATGTATTCAAATAAATACAAAATATAGTAAAATAAACATTAAGGTGCAGCATTTCGATGAACTGAAATAATATGTATTTGAACTGTACTAGTACCTAAGCAGCCAGCTTGACATTAGGACTTGCTTTTCATTGTATTTTG